CCCCCCCCCCCCCCCCCCCCCCCCCGAAAAAAAACTGGGGCCATGAAATTCACAATTTTGGAAAAAGCATCCTTGTGCATCCATGTACTTAGTTTGTTTGAATAATACGCAGGAGCAGAAAAGAACATTTTCAAAGAATTAATGCATTTTTACTATATAATCAATAGAGCCCTGCCCTAACACCATAACTACTGACCCAGGGGCCATGAAATTCACAATTTTGGAAATGGCATTAATGCTTATTATAACCATGCTCTTAGTTCTTTAAATAATACCCAGGAGCAGAGAAGATGATTTTCAAAGAATTAATGCATTTTCACTAGATAATCAATAGAGCCCCGCCCTAACATCAGAACCCTCTGATCCAGGGGCCATGAAATTCACAATTTTGGAAAAAGCATCATTGCTTATCATAACCATGCACTTAGTTTGTTTCAATACTACAGGAGTAAAGAAGAAGATTTTAAAGATTGTATCAAATTTTGGTGGTTTTAGCCACACCCCTTGGGCCCCAGGGGGAAGCAACCATGAAATTCATAATTTTTGTTCCCCTCACCCAAAGATGCTATATGCCAAAACTGGTTGAAATTGGTTGAGCGGTTCTAGAGAAGAAGTTGAAAATGCTCAAAAGTTAACGCACGACAGATGACGACAGACAAAAACGGATAGCAATAGGTCACCTGGTTGACTCAGGCGACCTAAAAATCCTGAATCTTCAACCTTTCGATGGCAGTAATGTAATAGACAGGATTACAAACAAGAGGCCCAAAGACTTTAACGGTCACCTGAGTACAATACAACAACTTAGAGGTACCATTAACTGATAAATGAAGCTTTGTTGCCCAAAAGCAAGAAAAATAGTATGATTAGCATCAACAAAACAAGAAGTCTGTGAGCGAATGCTCACTAGTAATACGCCCAGTCTGATGTGAATAAACACTCCCATGTTGACATCGAATTCATACAAAAATGAATCCCACCATTTGGCATGCCTAAACAAAGATTGTGCTAAAATTTCAAGCATCTGCACTGAGCAGTTGTTGAGAAAACTGACGAAATTTGTATGGACAGACACACGGATAAGCAGGAAGTTGACATCATATTTAATCAAAAATGAATCCCACCATATGGCATGCCTAAACAAAGATTGTGCTAAAATTTCAAGAATCTACACTGAGTACTTGCTGAGAAAACTGACGAAATTTGGTACAAACAGACATACGGAATAACAGGAAGTTGACATCGGATTCAAACAAAAATGAAACCCACCATATGACATGCCTAAACAAAGAGTGTGCTAAAATTTCATTTATCTGTGATGAGTAGCTGCTGAGAAAACTGTGAAGAAAATTTATTAGGGACAGATGCACCAATAAACAGGAAGTTGACATAGGACTCAAACAACAAGAGGCCCATGGGCCATAACGCTCACCTGAGTAACTTTGGCAATGCTGTTCTTCACCAGACTTGTAATACCTATTGTGGCCCCGCCCTATCCCCAGGGGTCACGTTTTGAACAATTTAGAATCTACACTTCTCCGGGCTTCCACATGTTTCAGCTTTTCTGGCCCTGTGGTTCTTGAGAAGACTTTTAAAGATTTTTCTACATATTTCAATTAGAACTTGACTTCCCTATCGTGGCCCCAACCTACCCCCGGGGTCATGATTTGAATAATTTAGAATTTACACTACCCCAGGATGCTTCCACATAAATTTCAGCTTTTCCGGCCCAGTGGTTCTTGAGAAGAAGATTTTTAAATATTTTTCTTTACATTTCAATGTAAAACTTGGTTTCCCTATTGTGGCCCGCTCTTCCACTGATGGTCTTGATTTGAAGATTTTAGAATCTACACTACCCCAGGATGCTACCACTTAATTTTCAGCTTTTTTTGTCCGTTGGTTCTTGAAAAGAAGATTTTTAAAGATTTTTTCTACATATTTCAATTTAAAACTTGGATTCCTATTGCAGCCCCACCCTACCCCCAGGGGTCATGTTTTGAACAATTTAGAATCTACACTACCCCAGGATACTTCCACATAAGTATCAGCTTTTCTGGCCCTGTTGGTCTTGAGATGAAGATTTTGAAAGATTGTTTCTACATTTTCAATGGGAAAACTTGGATTCCCTATTGTGCCCCCCCCCCCCCCCCCCCCCCCGGTCACGATTTGAAGAATTTAGAATCTACACTACCGCAGATGCTTCCACTATAGTTTAAGCTTTTCTGGGCCAGTGGTTCTTGAGAAGATTTTTTAATGACCCCACCCTGTTTTTGTTTTCTCTTGATTATCTCCTCTTGAAAGGGGGTTTGGCCCTTCATTTTAACAATTTAAACTCCCCTTCACCCAAGGATGCTTTGTACCAAGTTTGGTTAAAATTGTTCTTTGGAAGAAGTTGAAAATGTGAAAAGTTTACAGACAGATGGACGAACGACTGACAACGGGTGATCAGAAAAGCTCACTTGAGCTTTCAGCTCAGATAAGCTAATAATCATTAGATCCTCGCCCTAACACCAGAACCCTGACCCTGGGGCCATGAAATTCACAATTTTGGAAGAGGCACACTTGCTCAGCATAACTATGTATGTAGTTAGTTTGTTTAATACCCAGGAGCAGAGGAGAAGATTTTCAAAGAATTCATGCATTTTCACTATATAATCATAAGAGCCCAGCCCTAACACCAGAACCCCTGACCCAAGGGCCATGAAATTCACAATTTTAAAAGAGACACCCTTGCTCATCATAGCTATACATTAGGTTTGTTTGATTAATACCTAGGAGCAGACAAGAATATTTTCAAAGAAATAATGCACTTTCATTATATATCCTATATAGCCCCACCCTAGCACTAGAATCCCTGACCCTAGTGACATGATTTTCACAATTTGGGTAGAGGATTGACACTTATTACAATCATGCCAACATTTCAACTGCTTGATGTCTAGGAATAAAGGAGAAGATTTTTAAAGATTGCATTGATAAAAACTCCTGTAGGTCAGATCCAGCATCCAAAGCAAGTATGGTAGTGTCCATCCCTAGATGCATCATCCATGCAAGTTTTGTCCAGGTAGGGCTTATAGTTACCTGGAAATGGACCTGCTCCTAAAACTTTAAACTGCTCACTCATCTGAAAAATGTACATCAAATCCAGCATCCGAAGCAAGTGTGGTAGTGTCCATCCCTAGATGCATCATCCATGCAAATTTCCCATTAGTTACTTGGGAATGGACCTGCTCCTAAAACTTTAAACGGGACGCCAAAGCTGTGGGTATAGCATAAGTTCATCTCGACTTTGTCAGGTGAGCTAAAAAGGATTTTTTTTCCCGATTCTTTTCCTTGCGGTTGTTCTCCAGGGAATTGCTCTTGGCTTTATGAAATCAGAATACCGGTATATATATTACGTTATGGCTGTGCGGCTTTAGAAGTGCCCAGACATTGAAAGGATATGTTTCATCTTTCTTGATATGACAAAGGATTTTTAATTGACTCTCCAGATTTTCACTACTTTTACTAAAATGTCTCCTCTTGAAAGACGACATGCCTCCTTAAGAGGGCATGTTGCTTATTTGAAAATGCTTCAATCCCTATCACCTAAGAATGCTTTGTTTAAAAGATGAAAAGTTTACATGCATGTCAGACACACCAATGAACATGAAACTCTCTTTGGACGGGAAAAAACTCACTTGAACTAGAGCTCAGTTAGGAATTTAAAATAAAAAGATTGCTACATTCCAATTCTAGGCTTTGCTTCCTTATTGTGGCTTCATCCTATTCCTAGGGCCATAATATGAAGAAAATTGAGAAAAAGAATTAGAAATTTCTGGTGATGATTGCATATTGATATGGCTACTCAAGGACTTGTTGTTCTTGAGATATATTTACTTTTAAAATATTTTTCCCTATATAGTCCCCAAATTTAGGCAATTTGAAATCTACACTTAATACCAAACACTTGTCCTTTCTGACCCTACAGTTTAAGATAAAGATAGCAACAGATTTACACTTTCCTTCATATCTCCTTTTTAAGAATTAAAGATGAACCTTTCATTTAAACAAACCCATTTGACTGCCAGTGCTTTATGACAAGATTGTTTTGACTTTATTTAGTGGTTTGAAAAAATTGAAAATGTATAAAATGTACAAAAACTCAGATTGACAATTAACCTAATAAATGCTATTTTAGTGAAAGCGAGTTTAAAACTAGTCAGCCCAAAAGAGGTATGGTGAGTACTCATGTGTATTTCCAAGTCTGTGTAAATATTGCACATCCAAATATCTAGCATCTTCATATCTATTTTAATCAGAATAATTGAAACCAGAAGTCTCTGATAAGACTGTAGCTCTACTGGTCTGTACATATACATGTAACAAAGAAAAAAGCAGCACTTGGATTTGAAACTTTGAAACATGCAGCAATAAATAAAATTATATATCTTATTGAAGGCTACTTGTGTGCCAAGTTATATTGAATTGAAATCAGACCAAGACTGTAGGAGAAGTAACGTTTCAAAGGAATTTCACAGAAATTTCTCTTTTTAGTAACCATGACAACAACGTCTATCAAAATCAAAAACTGATGCAATAAATTTTGTATCTTAATGTAGTCTACTTGTATGCAAATCATACTGAAATCAAATCAAAACTGTGGGAGGAGTAGCATTTTAAAGGAATTTCACAGAAATTTCTATTTTTAGTTACCATGGCAACACCGTTCATCAAAATCAAAAACCGATGCACTAAATTATGTATCTTAGGGTAGTCTTCTTGTGTGCCAAGTTATACTGAAATCAGACCAAAACTGTAGGAGGAGTAGCATTTTGAAAAATTGTTTACAGACAGACAGACAGCTAGACAGACAGACAGACAGACAGACGGACGGACGACGGACACCTTACTATCGCATAAGCTCTTCTGGTCTCTGACCAGTAGAGCTAAAAAACCAGAATATTTAAATTTGTACAAATATTTTTGTCAAAGTCAAAGTCACATGTGTAGACACATACCTCTCTCCTGACCTTCTCTTTCAATCTGCTTTCCTATAGCTTTCAGTTGATATGGGCTTGATTTGTGCTGAACATCAAACTCAAACTCCTCTTCAAAAAATGGTATAGGTCCTCTGTGTTTCCTCTGCACAAAAAAACCATCAGAGCTCACATTTCCAGATTCCTCTCCAACATCAGCTCCTTTGCAAAAGTACAAAAAAAAATATTGATCAATTGACTGAAGCATAACCTTAGGCGGTCTAAACTTTTTTTTTAAGTTTGAATCAAAATTTTATCCTTATGGACTAATAATGGGGGAAATGTTAATATTGAGGCCTTAAATCAAGTTATGCCAATGGTTCTCAAATGGTAAATTGAAGCTTATACTGTTTCATAATGTAGTTTAAGAGGGTCCCAGTTTTGGTAAACTTGTATAAATGTGACCCCAAAGCCTCTTAGAGAGGCTTGGGCACAGAATTTAATTATCTTTTTTTTTTTTTTTTAAATATTTCCTGTACAATGTCTGTCATAGCAGATTTTGCTAAAACACTGATAAATTTAAAAAAAAAAACCTGCTTAGAAATGTTCTTTTATCTGGATATTATTTAAACTATCATTACTTCTGGACAACAATTGTCACTCACTTTGGTTTTCTTTACTTCATCATCATTCATCCCCGTATATTCTCATGTAAAAAAATTTGTTCCTCTCTTACCCCCAAAAAGACATGATTTAAAAACATAAGTAATGAGAGATACAGAGGTCACCTCAACGAATGTTGTCTTGAAATAAATCAAAGTCCCACACTAAACTAATAATCTAGTACATCCCAAAATGCAACATTTATGCAATTTTCATCTGATAGGGCTTGCAGTTACTTCGGAATGGAGTTAATCAAAAACTTAAAACTAGTCACTCATCCAGAAAATGTAATTCAAATTCAGCATCCGAAGCAAGTTTGAGATTGTTTACCATTTCATACATCATTCTTTCAAGTTTGTTTCAGATAGGCCTTGTAGTTTCTTGGTTATGAACCTGCTCAAAAAACTTAAATCTGGTCAATCATCCGGAAAATGTAGGTTAGATCCAGCATCCGAAGCAAACCTTATAGATAACATCCTTAGATGTATCATCCATACAAGTTTTATCAACATAGGCCTTATAGGTACTTTAGAATGAAACTGCTCAAAAAATTTTAACCTGGTCACTCATCCGGAAAATTAGGTCAGATCCAGCATCCAAAGCATGCATGGTAGTAAGCATCCTTCGAAGTATCATATGTGTAAGTTTAGTCAATAAAGGGCTTTTAGTTACTTGGAAATGAGACTTGACTCAAAAAAAAAACTGTAACCTGCTCCAAAAACAGAAAGCTGGTCATTCTTTAGCCGAAATTACAATATCTGAAACATTGACTTCTACAATGAAACACTAGAAACATCTTCCATGCATCCCTGAATAATGTAAGACATAAAAGTACTTAAAAAAGAAAACTGCCCCAAAAACTTTAACCTGAGACATCGACACCGAGGGTATTACCATATTTGGCTGAATACACACTTTTTTCCTAGAAAATGTTTTTGTGAAAAAGGGGTGCGTATTTTACACCACATTAGGATTTTGATAGTTTTTTCTTTCAGGTAAAACAGGGCTATCACACGGACATATCGTAGTATTACCTATAGATACATGGGCAATTTCTTGTTGTTTATCACTGTGTTTTAAACTTCGAAAAATTATTGTTGAAACGTAGGCTTGTTGAAAATGTTATGTTTATAATCTGTTGATAATGATAATCTGTTGTTAAATGATATTAAAAACAAGTTACAATTAATTTGAGCTGCATATTCATCGTCTCCATGTAGGCTGCCATTGACGATGTTATTTATAGACTTCACGCATTCCTATGCCACATGCTTGCGTAATCATAGTACACATGTACCTAATCAAACACTAGCTTGGAAAAAAATAATTGAGCAATTTTGTAATGAAATACAATAAATCAACATTTATTTGGGGTTTAAAATAACGCGGTGAAAATTCATTTCAACATAAACAACCCAACTATACCACTGTATACTGTATGTCTCAATTGAAGCCAATGTTGTGAACACGTGCGCTTGTCACTTGATCTCAACACCCCTCCAGGCAAATAAATTGTCTACCATGCAACTCCTAAGCTGTGTTTTTACAGTTAAAGCACTGTTTATTTACTGCCCTTATTAATGGCTTTGATTGTTTTCTTTGTTAAAATTCGGGGGTCGATTTTTAGCCTTCGTACAGTATCTATGAACTTGTGTTGATTACGACACATTAAACAGATAAACGCTTGTTAAATTTAATTTTACTATAATAATCTTATATTTATGGTCTACTGTTGAATTAATTAAGAGTTTAAAAAGGAAATATGAAGTCTGTTAAAACTTTGACCAGCATTTGAGTCGGGATCGGGATTTCGAAATTACGAACTCGTACTTCCTGTTTATGATAAATGTGACGGGTAAATGAGGGCAGATCTGCATAGGTCATAGCAGCATTAACGCCATGGTTTAGTGTAAAATTTATCAATATGGGTGCTCTTCAAAACGTTTTCACATATTCAGAGGACAAATTAAATGCTGACGACTTTGTTGCACACTGGCATGTTGGTGATATAATTAATTTATGCATCCGTATTCAAAAGTATCTGCATGTAAATTAATTTCCTCTCAAAGTTTAAAAACTGCCCGAGGTAGCTATAGCCAGAGACATTGTTTAGGCATCTGCTATAGCTTACAGTGGAACCAACATTCTTTAGAGAAGGATTGTTTATGAATCAGATGTAATGAATAACACTTAATGGAAGAAATGAAGTCCATTTGTGGGGGAAATAAACAATAGCCTTAAAGAAATAAAACATTTCAGCTATTAAAGAAAACAATTATATACAAATATATACAGGCACATAGTATTGTTTATGAATGTGGCAGCCAGAAAAATTATTTTACACTTAGTTGAAATTTCTTTTATCCCTCCCCAATACTCCATGTTTGTTATATGTTATAGGAATATTTAATTAAGCTCTCGAGTATATTTTTAGAACAATTTCTACACATGGTGTTCGTAAACCTAAAAATAAAAAAAAAAAACGCTGGCCTTAAGTGTTACAATTACTCATGCTCTGTAGAAAATAAGATATCTGCAAAGATTAACCCCATGTATAAAGGCATGATTTATACCATGTCCATCTGTTCAAACTAAAACTCAGCAGTATTTTGTGCTTTGTTGAAATAAATTTATTTCTGCAAGGATAAAGACAAAGTGTAATGTCACGATTGCCGTAGCTAAAAATAAATAAAATCCAGTATTTCGTGCTTTCTTGAATAAAATCATTAACACAAAAAGATTTAAACAGCAACGTTTAAATGCAAGATTTATATATTTGTCCCGATATAAATTTTAATGGGACTACATTTTGTGCTATGTTAAAATTAATGAAATTAAACCGCAATTGCTGTTAGCTTAACAAATGATTTATAATGCAAAATTTAATTACTTCTATGAATAATACCGCCATGCTAAAAATCAGGAGTACCATAAGCTCAAAAAACAAAGTCCGCGTATGAAACGTTACCATACTTAAATTTGCAATACATTATTTTCCATAAAGATTTTAAGTTAAAATTACCGCGATGTAAAAAAAGACAACATAACTGCTTGGTCAATTTTTGACAGCATGTAATACAACCGAACTGCGTTTTTTCCCAATATTTTACACCAAACAAGGTATTATTTCAACTTGGAATAATTACTTGACATGGATTTCAATTAAATTCTTATTTTTGCTGTAGTTGCAATGTTAATGATAATTTAAAGTGTCCCGCCACAGCATGAACAGCGTGTCAAATATTGTTAAATATTATTATCAAACAGTTTAGATTGCAAGAAAATCATATTAATCTTGATTCAAAGATTTCAATGATTTTTTCCGTTCCTTAAAGTTTTATATACATACATCTCCTGTGGTGTAGGTATTATTTACAACAAATAATACATCATATATTTATCAACTGGTTGTGTTAGATCTTAAGTAAGGCCCATCTGCAGCTTTGTCTATTGTATATTTTATGATTAACAATGCTACAGCCTAATAAAACATCAAAACAAATTCTGTTTATTCTTTAGAATATAAAATTGTCTAAATGACATCTTAGCGAGACAAGGCAGTCTGCAATTTGTTTTAAAGATATAAAAATTAAAATAAAAATATACAATAAACAATTAGTTTTAATTATATTATACAATATCATATAAGTTTTAATTATAGAATACAATATCAAATTAGTTTTAATTACTTTACATCAAATTTGTCTTGAAAGCAAGACTAGCCAACAAGAACAATTTAATACAACACAAGCAATTAATTAAGAGGTTGGTTCCTTTGCCAGATACCCAAGATATGTAGATAACACCTGATCAGAGATGCTCTACCAGTTATCTCCTCACACTAAACTCATTAATTTATTTCTAATTTGACATGCAATTTTCTGCTATCAAAGGTTTCCTTGACCAGTGCCTGATAAATACACCCATGGGAGAGGTGGAATTTTTCTTGTTACAGATTGCTGTAAAGAACATAATGAAAACTAGAAATATGTCCATAGGACATGAATGCCCCGTCGAGGGTATATTAGTAATGCAACATGAAAATTTGTATTAGTGTATGAAATTTGATGAGAATATCTTGAATAATTTCTTTAAAATTGAAATTGTAATCTAAAAAGTTTGATATAGATGATAAATTCTCACCAAATTATGTATAAGTGCATAAGCTTAAATAAATATATCTTAAATGGTTTCTTTAAAATTAAGCAAAATGCAAATTTAAGAAAAGTGAAGTCAAGGTCCCAGAAAAGTTCAAGGTCAAACGTTTTTGATGCAGTTGAATAGTTCTCATAAAAACGTATCAGCATATTAAGTTTGATAAAAATATTTTGAATAGTTTCTTTAAAACTGAGCTGTACACTAATTTAAAATAAACGAAGTTAAGGTCAAAGGAAAGGTCATGGTCAAAAATTGTTGAAAAGGTTACATCAGTATGTATTAGCATATGAAGTTTGATAAAAATATCATGAATGGTTTCTTTAAAACTGAACATTTAAGAAATGTTAGGTCAAGGTTAAAGGAAAGGTCAAGTTCAAAAAATATTGATGCAGTTGAATAGCTCTCATCCGTATGTATCAGCGTATAAAGTTTGTTAAAAATATCTTGAAAGGTTTCAT